CAAAATATCTTACTTGAGTTGAAATGTTGATATCCCAACTTGGGCTATGTGGGAAATAAGAGGTTTTGATACTCAAGGACAACCTTACATGTATTTTACTCCATATAAAACAGACCCCACAGGTACTTCATTCATCAAGCTTCCACCATCAGTTGTCAGCACAAAGTAAAGACTAGAGATAGCCCTTGTCACAGTTAGTTTTTCTCATTTGCATTACAATGTAATCCAAGGAGGATTCGAGGCAATTTTGGGCTGAAACTAAGAAACAGCCTAAAATTGCCTTGCACACGTGCTAGATTATATTTTAATGCAAAGGAGAAAAGTTAACTGTGAAAAGGGCTAATCTTTAAAGTACATAACAGTCCAGAATTGTTTTTTTTTAACCTGCAACTTTATGCAGTTATGTCAGTTGCCAGAAATTTTGCTCCCACAACATGCATGGCTCTGTCCAACTGCTACACGTATGTTTATAAATTGATAAACAAAGGTTATCATTGTTCTACAGATCTAATTCTTAGCTAGAAAAGATGGAATTTAATTATATTCTGCTTTCTCAACAGTTTCTGGATAAATTACTTCATTAATAATGGCAAAACTAAGAAAAAGATTGAGAGAGAAGTTAGCAGTATCTTGATAGCATATGGTGAGTACAGTTTTCTTTTTTAGTAAAATGAGTATTCCTTCAACTGAGGGACTGTTAAATGTCTCAATTTTCTTAAAAGGAAATAAATACATGTAAATAACCCTTATTTACCCTCAGCAATGGTTATAGCACTAAGGCTAGTGGGGCTGAGCAAATTGTTCTGAAAAGTCTTGGAGGCTCTCCCTTGTTAAAGCAGCTTGTTTTCACTCTTTTTAGGGCTTCTGATAGGTTGCGGAAGAATAGTCAAATTTTGTGGGATTTTCAAAGACAAATTCGCAGATAAAACAGCTGATTTTGTGGGAAATTTGTGGGAATTTTCAGGGCAAATTTCACTGAGAAACGATCGCCAAAAAATGGCAGCTGATTTTGTGGGAATTTTCTGGGCAAATTTCACTGGAAAGCAATCGGCTTTGCATTGCTTTGATGAACATTTTTAACAAAAAAAAGACGGCAATTTTGCCATTTTTTTTGGGAGGGGGGGGAATGATGAGCGTTAGCCTCTATGGTAACAACAGAAACACTGACTAGCTGTATTAAGTGTTGCCTTTCTAAATCCGGCAATTTTGCAGGAAAATTTGGGCACCTCGTTTGGACTATCATATGTGTTTGCCATCTGTTTGACCACGAGGTTCTTTTAAACAGAGATGTTAAATTTTAACAACAATATGCTCAAGAAATTCACCAATGGCAAAACGTTTTACATCGTGGCCACTGCCCAGTTTTTGGTAACAGTAATTATTTAAGAATGCCTGGTAGTTTGGGGATGTTGTTTACTTGTTGCAGTGACAAAGTTTCACAATAAATTTGTAAGTCTACGGCAAATAAACAGCC